CTTGTTCTATCAAATGAATGGTCAAATTAATTTCTTAAAAATGGGTTAACATACATAATAAACCAATAAAAATGCATTGCTATTGATTGAAATTAAGAAAATACTGCATAAAATACAATCGAATCATATATTAAGAGCAAGAAAATTACAATCATCCGCCCAAATACGCACATTCAACCATATTGACAACAAAGATGATAAAATACAAAAGGAGAAATAAGCATTTTATTAATTTAAATAAGATAAGTTAAGAAAGTCATTAATTAACGAAATCCTAATCAAGCTCTTTTTTAACCATCACAAGGCTTTGGAAAGCTTTAGCATCAGTTACTCCACGGCTACTAACCCCATCACAAGGCTTTGGAGAGTTTCCATTAATTTCGCGATTTAGTTTACGAAACTTGTTTTTATTCCTCGCACGAAATCTCTTCTCTCTTTCATTAGTCGACTCACTCTTGTAGTGATTTGACATATGAGCAGCAAACTTCTGTGAAGTGTCAAATACACCATTGCACTTAGGACATGTATATGGACCATATTTCTCATATGGTAGACTATGCGTCCGACCATCGTACTCATCATCACCACTTCTCCCATCTTCTTCAGAATCTAAATGATCATCCCTAGCAATTTCTTCACGAAATTTGGTTGGTTTACGGCTTTTCTTCAAAGATGGACCATCTTGGGAAACATGTTGGTCATGGTTGTTGTTTGATGATGAGGAAAACATGTCTAAACGATGACGATAGGCAGATTTTTGGTGAGGAAAAACAACATTGAGAGGTTTAGGGCTTAAGATCTCACTTTGTTTGTCACGAAAATTCGGAGGATGAATTGTAGGATTCCAAACATTGTTGTTAAAATCCATGGCACGGTTAACACGTCCAATATCATTATTTTGGACGTTGAAAATTGTTTTGGTAGGAACAATAGCAGAAACCCTATTTGTAATAGTTTGAGTGAAAGAAACTTGAGAAAACTGAGGATTATCTTTAATAGGAAAACATTCAGCACCAAAAACAGAATCAGTGTTTCTCCTTGTATGATAGGTCATATGTGAATTGTTAAATCCAAAAGAAGAGGAAGAAACATTTGAATTTTGATAACGAGTAAAAGAAGGAGACGAAGAAAACAAATCTCCATAGTTTGTCTGATCAGAAGTATGGAACATAGACCGAAACATGTTAGAGTTTTGAACAAAACTAGGATGGTTCATGTTATCATCACCGTAAGAGCTAAACCTATTTGGGATTGAAGACATTTCGGAAGCTTATATGTTTTTTGTTTTTTGATAAAAGAAAGAGAGATGATATATCTTACATCCTTCGCTTATGTATCCTTTTATATATACAAAGTCCGTATTAGATGTGAACAAAATAAAATTTAAAGTTCGCATTAACAAAGTAAATTATAAACCTAAAAATGGGAAACAAATTTTAAAATACGAAAGGAAAGTAATCTACTAGGTTCACTATTATTAGATTATTTTAACAATTAAAAGTAACAAAATCCATAATTATTCATTTATTTCCCCGAAAACACCTCTATTTACCAAAATAATTTATATGGTGATATTTAGATGCAGTTAAAAAGCTGATTTCTTGCCATTTACTTGGATTCGGTAGTTGAGGTTTCTGGATAATACATAATTTTTTGCTGTTTATGTGAACATTTTTAATGTTATTTACTTTAGAGAATAGAACATACATGCATGCGCAGGACATCTGTTGACGTTTTGTCATATATCATTTATTTTGTGATATTATGGTTATATAATGGTGCGCTATCATTAAAATATATTGATTTCCAATGAATTATTCGTTAATTATTTCTATATGTTAATTAAAATATATTGATTTCATGGTGAAGTGATTTGCTTTGAAATCTTATGTCATTAAATCTATAACTAGATATTAGATGGATTACTCAATCTACTAAGATATATTTCTTTCATTAACAATTAGATACATCATATTACGGAAAATGAGAAACGCATATAAATTTGGTGAAAACTACTCAAAAACTAGATTCGCAATTACTTTATGATTTGAAGAAAAAATCGCCAAACAAGACATTTGTTTTTTCCTGTATAATGATTCGTTTTTTTTATAACAAACTAAATTTATATGTGATATATATCATACTGGTTTACGTTAGTATCGTCAATGTACTATCATCCATATTCAAATCTTAAGATGCATGGTGTTGTTGACAAAACAATTTCGTTATCCATATTTACAATTATTACTTTATATTTGACGATACTATTGTAAACCAGTAGGTGCATTTGTTTCTTATACTTCAAAACTTCATACTAAAAGATAACTAACTCGTCAATAAAAAAAACTCACCAATATAATTTATTAATAAAATTAAATAACGCGCCAAAAATTTGAATTAACGTGCCAAAAGTTTGAATAGACAAAATAGCAAAACATAATGACTTCAAATTTATTATCTAAAGATATAATCTTTTTTAGCTTTAATAAGTTTGATATTAGTTTTGTTGATAAAAAAAGTTTGATAGTATTTTTCTTCACTTTAAAAAGTCTAATATTATTTTTGTTGATAAAAAAAAATTGAAAATTTTGGATAGAAATATACGGAGTCTTAGAAGAAAAAATTCATTCCATCCAAAATATGAAACAATGAATGTTAATACTTTCTTCCTCTCATTGACATACTACTCATGCCCTTATTTAAAGTTCTTATAAAAGTAAAAATAGATACAAAAGCTCTTGCAAATCGAAGTAAACTAAGCACAAGATTTTAAAAAAAATTTAAGCACAACTTGAACTACTCCATTGAAATAAATATATATATATAGTCGTAAATAGAGGTCGATCCAACCTAAACAGAAGAATCTGAAAGAAACCTTAGAGCATGTCCAATAGTATAGGTTCTCTCAAGAGTTGCTTACAAATATTATATTAATTTTTAAAATAAAATAAAATTATATAATTAATTAAAAAATCTGAACCAATCATAACTATCCATTTGAGATAAAAGTTTTTTACAAATTTGAGAAAGTTTCTTATTTAACTTGTTTAAGAATTTTGAGGATGGATCCTTCTTTCTCTTTCCTTCTTTTTTTCATTTTTGTTATTTTCTTAATGTTAAGAAATTTGGTAAAAATCTCTATTGTACATGCTCTTATAAGCTTAAAATTATTTTGGATCTTGTTACTAGACCTAAACACTAAGTTTAAATGTAAGGACAAGATAAACCTATATAACTGAGGCTATTCTTCCCGAGGTGGGTGGCACTCATTTACAAACTATACACATCACCGACTTTGTCATATTTGGGTTGTCAGTTAGAGGAAGTTGTGGTTCAGCCAGTTTTGGTTAGTTCTCAGCTCATCACGTGATGGGTTCTGATGCATAGCACGGGTGGTCGATGACTCGGTGTCTATGTTTTTCTGTATACGCTTCAGATTTTGTGGCTGATAAGAAATCCCGGCATGATCTTTTGAGAAGAGGAGTATTTCTCNAGAGANA